GAGATAGATGCCTAGATTTCCAGGAATGGTGCAGTAGTGAGTTGGCCACCAGCTGGTTGTGAGACATTCACCCCAGATCAGAAATTGCAAGCATAGGAATTTGCAGCGCTTCTCCTGGAAACCAATGACATTCTGTCAGCAGAAATCATCTCCTTCTCCAGGGCACAGCTTCTCTCAAAGTACATGTTTTGTTAGCACGGGTCCGCCAAGTGGTCCATGTCATCTTATGATGAAGTAGACCGGTAGCCAAGGTTCTATAATAATTGTAATAGTGATAAGTTTATATGTTGTTTTAATCATTATATATTATCATTATATGTGTAATCTATCAATTATACATTTTTAAACTCGAGAAAGTACATTTTTAATATGTGTGTCAATCAATATTGAACAAATAATTTAAATTTAAATATATTGATACTTTTCAATTTAAATAATTTATCAAATAAAATACTTTTGAAAAGGAAATAAACTAACTAAATGAAATAAAATAAACAGCTAAAACTTAAGATTCACTCCTTGTTCTATTTTTACACCTGTAATAAGCCACCTGAGTAGAATTTAACTCAAATTCTATTGGTCATGTCTAATTCTGAACAACAGATAAAGACATTTTTCAACTCATTGATTTCAGACTAGAAAGACATATATATTAAATTCATACATATCTTACAACTCTAAGTGTGACCTGGCTAACAGCTACTAATCTATAATTAACTTATTTACTTCTTCTTACATTGTACTTAATAAAATATTTTTCAAAATTTGTGATTTATCTGAAATAAATGAAATAATGAAATATTCAGTGCATAAGAGTTGACAAGGAATTATAAGTTTATTATAGTTTATTCAATGATACAGTGCCAGTAATTGTAATACAAATGCACTAGGCGAAATGTTCGATAAAAAAGGTACATTTCATTCTTTAAATGTACTTATCAGTCTTATATTTTTCTAATTCGTAAGTGGACTTAAAATTCACTTATTGATTCAAATAAAAAATGTAAAACAATTCAGTATATGTTTTAAGGGAATATATTTTCACTTTATAGGTATTATTGTAGATTTTTTATTAAATGCTGTGAAAAGGGGAATGACTCTTTTATAGAATGCATAGTAAAAATGTATTGCAATTTTATGAGTATATTGAATATCTAACGAATTGTCACCTTGATTACAAAAAATTGCACTAATATTACTTTTAAATATAATAGCAAGGAATTATTATCTCAGGATACCACAAAGAATAAATCATCAAATAACGGACCCGAGGTGTCATGGTTTTATTCAATATCTATACTTGACCCCTGTTACATAATAATAAGAAGAACAGAACCATTGCCATGAAGGCTGTAAGGAATACATATGATGATGAGTATTCAATGGCTACAACTCGGTAAGTGACTTTTGTACGGTTAATAGCAGTCCGTATGCTTATAACCAATGCCACAACAACAAACATGGAATCCACATGTCCTGCACTAAAATGTCTATCGTCAAAATGGAAACCGGACACAAGGCTTCGATTCTAAGCTATTAGGGAGGAGCTTCTGTTTTAAATTGATATAGTTTGCTGTTTATTTTCATGTTTTAAACGTTGAAAGAAAAATAAACTAACAATTCTCACAGCACAGAGATTGTTTCTTTCTTGTTGCCGTAATATTCAAACAGCTTTCTAAAACTTACGACTTTTCAACTTTATACACAACCATTTCTCACGATAGATTAGCGCCAGGAATTCTGATATTATTGACCGGTGCTTTTTCAATAAAAATGGAACTCGTAAATTAACTCTCCTTGTCATCGATTATTTGCAAAAGTATGACGTAACATCAGGAATTGCTACTAATAAGAAATTATACCCTTAATCCGTCTCCAGCTTACGATTGCAGTGCAGTCTTGATAAAAAACATGTAGTGTTTTATATGAAAATAAAGGATTTTTTCTCACCAATAATGTTGCATCAAAAAAGAAGCATTATTACAACGTATGCACACATTGACAGACTTCTATATTCCGGAATAAGGTCATTTTTCGTCCTGTCCCGTTGTTTCAGAAAAATACCTTCAACCGAGTTTATTCTAGAAAAATGTTGAAAAATCTTCTCGCATTTCTCTGATATTTCACAGGATCGTTCTCTTACATCATATTTAGTCATAATATGTTTGTTGACAACCCCTGTTAAGAGAATAGATACCCACATCCTTTGAAATAAAAGTTCTTAAAATGTCCAATTCAATAAAATATTAGCGTAACGCATATTCCATGGGTGAAAAAGAGAATAATGTCGGTAAGATTTACAAATTTGAATTGACTTACAATGAGTACTTCTAAACAACAACCTGTTCCAAAAAGATAATGCAAATTTTCCAGGTGCAAAGATATTTAATTAAAAATAATCGGTGTCTTGCAAAAATGTCCCACTGCATAAATGACGCCATGTCAAATATATATTAATTAATAGCTTATTGATTTATTCCGAATTCAAGTGGAAATATTTATTAAAATTTATAAATGTGAAAAGTACTGAGAAATTACTTCTGATACATATAGGTTTCATCAGATCTTACCGATTAGTAAGAAAATTACTAAAGAATCGAAATGTCTTGCGAAAATGTCCCCAGCTGCTTAAAATGACGTCTGACGTTCTAAGAATGCACAATTTGGGACACAGTCAATGTGCATGTCCTATTAATTTGTTTACGCATTATTGTACCCTTCATACTTAACATATTAACCTTAAGTTTGATTATCGCCTCTCTGTATCCTTAAATTGCTTTTTCTGTTGATTTTTTTAATGATCACTATAAAACGATCATCCCATACAAATGTAGTTAATAAATAATTTTAAATCCATGCCATTACAGAATATTCTTTTCATATGCAAGATACAATATTGAAAATACAGCCTAATTTGTCTTCATGATCTGCTTTATCGAAAAACGTATGCATGTATGTATGCATACAGGGTTCTCTCGAAAAATTACTATATTGAATAATTACTTCTGTCAACAATTGGGATTAATTCTTTAAAAAAACATATTTAAACACTGCACGTAAACAATTCACATTCGTAGTTTTGACGTCGTTTGACGTTACAACGTTGGGTAGCAATTCCTGACGTTGCATCTTATAATGTTGTTAAAAATATTTAAATATTCTAATTGTACACACACGCACTCTGAAGTTAACATTAAAAGGATATATGCTTAAGTTTATGATTGACAATATATATGTGTTTTTTTTTAGAGAACTGGTCATCGAACAATTTATCGGAATTCCCATGGGTACCAATCCCCCGCCCGTTATTTGCAGACCTATTTTTATTATTCATATGAATCGGTACGTGGTACCGTCTTTATAAGAATGACATATTCTTCAGCGGGACGTAAAGCAACACAAAATCAATCAATTTTTTCCTTCAATACGTCGATACGATAGATCCCAGGGAGCTTGGGATACCACTGAATCTGACACATCTGTTTCATATTTGGATCTTTCACTTGAAAAAGACGTAAATGGGAATCTTACAAACAACTTTAACTTTACAATCGTGAACTTTCCTTACTAATTCAGCAATATACCTTCATCACCTGCATACAGAGATGAAATATCTCAGTTAATTCGATACGCAAGAGCATTCTCTACGTATGAAAAATTTCTAAAACGAGGTCAATTATTGACAAATAAGTTGATGAAACGAGAATATCAGCAGTCTCGGTTAAAGTTATCATTTCGTAAGTTCTGTTGCCGATACTATGACTTTATCAACAAATACAATTTAGCATTGAGTCAAATGCTGACTGACGTTTTTCATACCGATTGTTAGTCCGTTATTTAACACGGAATTGACCAAGGATATTTCTGTTCTTTCCTAATCATGACAAGGAGCACACGACGGGTTTGATCGATCAGCAGGGGATGCTCACTTCTCCTTGGTATTTGATCACACCTCTGATGTTTTGGATATGTTTGCTTTGCTCCTATATTTTGAATTGTTCTTTTTTAAATTCAATGAAAAATTGATTTCACTAAGTTTGTTTTCAAAGACGCGCAATTTATATTTTTAAAAATAATAACTAAAAATTGGTTATTTTACGTGGTTGTTTATGCTTAGCTTCGCAAGAGAATCGTTCTTTACAACACCGGTAAAAGGAAACATATAAATATTTTTTCAAACAAAAGAATTTTTTGTGAATCTATAGTTTACAAAAAAGAGCTATCTTGTTATGAGAATAATTATTCACACACATACGTAGTTGTATAGAAGACGATACAAGACTGAAGTCGATGATTTTTAAAGTATTCGAGGATGCATACAAGGAACTGGAGTGGGAAATTTTATACTCAATTCCATATACAAGACTGTGTATTTGCAATTTCTCCAAGCTAAGGTAAAGTTTCAGAAAAAGTGAAATGAAAGAAAAATAATATCTTTCGTCCTTTTGTTCTCATGAAAATTCCACTGGTAAAATTTTAAATTATGTAGTCCTTGTCAAAATTGCCTTTTATTGTATCCGTCTCTTTGTTTGGAAGTGCAAAGCGTCATGGAAAGTAAGACGTCTTAAGAAACCAACAATCCGTAACAAGCATTCTGAGAGTATTTTATCAGCAATACTATTCCCATACCGGCAAGTGTAATCAGATTTCCTCTAAATATTGAAAATTCCACAATTCAAATTTTGAAGCGGAACAAAAATTAAATCTGATCCATAACACATCAAGGTCAAGTGACATATCAAAATTCGGCTCAGCATCTGCAAATGTTTGAAAAAAACGTGTAAAACTCTTTCAAATAAAAAAAAGCCGTGACTCAGTCAAAAATCATTTAAACGTAGCGAAATGCAATTTGATCTGCAACTCACCAAGACACAAGGCAGATTATGTACATGATTATGAAGGCTGAGGAGTTGCAAGAAGTTTAAATTAATTTAATAGTTTACATTCATAATTGTTTTTACATCGGATATTCCTCGCTTCAAGGTCTGAAGAATTTTCTTTTGAGGGGGGTTGGGTTAAAGAAATTATTTCGTAGTATCCTTAAAATATGTACAAAATAGATAAATAGTAAATTTTATGAAAACATTCAAAGCGGAATAATTATACATGTAGTCTTTAAATTATTGGCGTCATATCAATCAAAAGTGTTACTAACTTTAGGGAATTCCAGGAATGTCATTGATATTGTTTTCCCATTTTTTCTGGTTTCCGTATCCCCAGATCTGCATTTGCACTCTTGAAACTTTAAGCACGCTACGGATTGTCCTTAACCGTTCTGTTTCTCTTGTCCGCGACGCTTTCATGAGATTTTAAATGGAAAACACTAGAATCCCTGCGTCAAGAAGAGCTGAAAGTGGAACTAGAATCATGTCACCAAGGGAAATAACCCTTGCAATAATTCGTAGCAAAATCACCGGTACAACAGTGAGCGATCTGAGAGCAGATGTTGCTATTTCTAGGGCGTTGTTATCCATGCATTCAGCATAATCTTCAGCCTCTAAAAGATCTTTGATTTCTTTTTCAACAGCTTTGATGGATTTTTCAAGACATCGTGATCGCTCTCGTAAATTCATTTGGTATCTTTCCATTTGGGATAGGTCGCTTTATTTAAAATAAACTCTGAAATTTTTGATCCTGCTGACGTGAAACCTCCCACTCCTCCTACAACTCCGCCAGCAATTGTGAGACCAAGTGAAACCCCTGCTGTGAACGGGGCAGCAATAAGTCCACCAACGGCAAGGGCAGCCCCCACCAGACCCACAGAAGACCCAACGATTGATGCGATATTAACAATTTTCCTTCGGCATTCTAACCCATCAATAATTTCTATGCAAAGAAGTTCAAGTGCCATGTTACATCGTATCCAATTGTCAAGGGCTATCCATGTGACTGTGAGTCTGTTCTCTATACTCCTCATTTTTGCAAAGATATTTTCATCTAAAAATGAAAATATATGGATTTTAGAAATAGAAAACCGGTCCTTTTAAATATGACACAAATTTCAATAAATACTTATTACCAATTACCCACCTGCTCTGCTTACTCTGTGGTATTCAATTTCCGGTACTTTAGGGTGGTCTATCATACAATTGTAAATTTCGTTTTTGGGGACTATTCGATGAAAATGTCCTGAAAAAGTTCTATACACCATTATAAAAAAATTGCTAAAGCCATCGCCATCTTTATGACAACAATGTTCTCGTGCAATATTTCTTATGTGTTTCGGTCTGTGCTTTCTTCTTAGCTGTGTAAATTCCTTCCATGACGTTGAAATTATTCCTTTGTCTTCTTCAACGCAGATTACGAATACTGGAACCTGAAAGCATGTGGCTATTGAAAGGAGCTCTAAGTCTTCCATTTCCATTCCATCCTCTATTCGATTAGCATAAAAAAGTGCTTGCTCCTTTTCAACAGTCGTCTGCCTCTTGAAGAAGTCAAGTTTCTTTCTTTTTCTTGATGTAAAATTTTTCAAAAATTCTTCATTTTCTGTTTCGTCCTTGTCCCATCGCATGAATTTACCATATAAGTGAGGCTCTTTACGAATTTCATTCACCATTTCCTTCATTACAAGTTCAAATTCATTTTCAGTTCCAAAAATTTCCTTGCTTACACATCTACACAAGGAGTAACTGTAATCGGACATGAAATCGATTTCCTTATCCTGCATATCGTACCTACTTGTTCACAGAGGGATATCTGAATATCTTGAAAATACTGTTGGTACACGTCTAATTTCATCAGTAAACAAGGCTTCGCTTATCATAACATCATCGGATAGAAACGTCAGGAGTGGTCTATGTCTGTTGGCCACGAGAATTTTCTTTTCGTCTCGTTTTAGATCTAAAATATGATTTACCTTAAAATAAATTTTTGCTTAGTACATGCATTTTCAATCGATCTTAGTACGCGATAAACATTTAATATATGTTCAATACTACTATATTGTCATATAGAAAAAATGCTCTCCAAACGAGTTTATGGGCATATCTCTTAAAATTTATTAAGATTAAATAAAAGATTAAATGATTTCCAATTATTCTTTGTACTTGCACGGACAGGAGAACTTTGAAACTCAGAGTGTTAATCTAGCATAGATTACCTATTTTAGTTTTGACATCAACTGCAGGTGAAGGTAATTTACAGTTGCATCCATTTTTGGCAACAATTCTATCAAAATATCCGGTTAGTCCATTGTAGAAAATGGTGATGTAATATCGACAGCAGCTATCTCCTGGTGTTGCTGAGTTAGGCGCAATCATGCCCCAGGAATAATTTTCTGGAAAATACTTAAAAACAAACACCGGCTTTTCTGTTGAATTTGCAACGACTGCCAATAATTCTTCTGGTTTCATTGGCTTTTCCAAACAAAACATGAAAGACATCGTAATTTATGAAGAGAATCTGTGATCAGACAAAGGATAAAGAGAAAAAAGCTATATTCTAAAACTGCATGATAATGAATGATCCTATCGTACACCAGAAAAAGAAAATACTGTTGTAATGAACGCAGATAAAAAGAGTATTTTTAGTACTCGAAATGGCAAATAGTTTTATGTTATTGGTTTTATATACGTTATTCCATTTGTGTTGAAAATGGTGTTGTTATTCACTCAACAAGCCTTAGAATATGACATCCATTTAAGGCTCTAGGTAAAGAATTAATACAGATATCCACTCCCTCTCTGATAAATCATAATTATTTAATCTGATTATTGAATGAGAATTTACATGTAAAATAAATAACCAATCAGCTTGTTTACTACCTTGACTCAAATAATGAAACTTTATTCTCATCTCCAAAAATTTCTCTGCTAATGCATTGCACTACGGAACCTTTTCCACCATTTATTTGATCCAGTTTTCTTCCTTGTGTATCCAACACTTCGATAACCTTTTCTACGTGTCTATCCAAAGGACTCTGATAGGAGGAAATTTGGTCGTTGGGGACAATTTGAGAATCTTGAATTGCAGAGAAGTGCTTATGAGTGCCGTGTCTTCCAACAGGGCAGCATGATTCCAAAGCTGAAAAAGAACAATCAGTGAGAAAAGTTATGAAAGGATCATAAAAATAAATTCAATATGATGAGATTTATTGACCAAGACTTACCAAGTCTTTTCATGACATAATCCTCGACCATCTCTTGGTAAATTGGTAATCGGCCGGATATTAATGGTTTTCGACAAACACATGAACAGCTGTTGCAATTCACTAAAGGAATCAACGCAATGTTGGATGCTTCTTCTAGGTAGATTGGCGAGGAAAATATTTTAGAGAAACTACTGCAAGTAGGAAGGAATAGATTATATTCCTTTCCTCTCTTAACATAAATTTCAACATTGAATACACTTGCAACTGCAAAATAATCCATGATGCTGACAGTATCCCATTGATCAAGATGAAATTGAAAAGCTCTCCTTCGTAAATCTGCAAGTTCTGCATCTTTTGCTCTGCCTTCAGACAGCCTTTCCAATGCCTTCTTTTCTGCTTCGAATTTATCTAAACAAACAAAAGCTTGGTATATTTCACAGAAATCCTCACTCTTCATATGGGTAATAACGTGATCCTTGACGAAGTCTTCCATGCATTCTAAGCCGTAAACAAGCTGACTCAGCACAACAAAAATATTCGTTTTATCTGTTTCGGATATTGTGATCGTCGTCATAGCTTCATCCAAAGAACTTGTAGTCAGTCCCTCAATTTTCTTTAAAATGAATGTTGCATCTAGATCTTGAAATGAGTTTTCGAATCGCTTATCAAGACACAAATCATGGTTCTCATTGATAAATGTAACTGGACACTTTACAAGATTACGTTCATCTCCCTCAAGAAGCTGGAAGTACGGTTCACCGCCTATAAAAGTGAGTAGAAGTATAATTTTGTCGGTTTTGGACGTTTCTCTTAGGAGCGGTGATATATAAAATCCACTAACTGTTTCACAACCAGCAGCAATTTTCAAGAGTGTGATCTTTTGCTCAAGAAACTCACTTATCGCATATAACTCGCGCAGAGTTGGTGGAAACTGCTCATCTTCTAGAACAGTCATATCTCTTCTGAACGCCTCATGTACTGTCATTTCCGGTCTATATTTTTGCGCCTTGAATAGGGAGAAATAATACTGAAGTCTTTTTTGAAATTTCGACAGCTCTTTGCGGACTTTTCCATATTTATAATCTCCTGGAAGAAGTTTCCCGACGATTGTAAACAGTTCGTTATTATCATGAGGATGTGCAGAGACAGCAAAATATTCTTTCAGTTTGTCTTCCAGTCCATTTACATCCATTCTATATATCAAAGTCTAAGAGAAAACTAGCAATATGATCCAAAGGTTCTGTGTACTTTACGTTTTATCTGCATGGCCCGTCTTCACGGGTAGTGATCCGTTTGACCTGTTATAAAGTAAAAACATACAATTTAACATCTTTCAAATTTAAGAGCAAAGAAATCATTTTCACTGCAAGTTATGTTAATGATGACTCGTAACTGGAGAAGTTTTCTAGCATGAGCATATATTTTGAGTGTTTGAAATATTAAAGCACATATAGACCTCTTCGTTACATATTTCAAACCAAAATATTGAACAACAAAGCTTTTGAAAAGCAGATCAGAGGTGATCATCAATGTGAAATGTACACGTTTTACAAAAAAAGACAAAACAATAATTAAGGTATTTAAAGACCACGGGCAATAAATAGACAAAAGGGTATTGTGTGCTAGGTCAGCAAATATAGATTTTCTGTACAAAAATACAATGCTTAGTGATAAGATGTCCCCGTCTACGACCTCGGAATAACTGCACATTATTGATTTTACTGTCAAGCGGGTGAGGTAGTTGTTCATTATTGATTGTTAAATGACAACATATGCAAGACTTTTGAAAAGCCTGAAATAAATGCAACTTAGATATTTACTTACTAGTTGTGATTGTGTGCATAAAATCTTTGTTATCTGGTTCCCAGTTGTATCTTTTTTTTACAATGTAAGTAACTTAAATAACTTTCTTCCATAAAATATTTTCAAAGATTTTATATATTTATTCTTATTTGAAAAGAAACCATTAAATAATAATTCAATTCATTGCACACACATTTCTTGATATAAAAAAGTATAAGTTAAAAAATACAGTGTAAATTTCATATGATTTTTAACAATTAAAATCTGATAAACATGCAACGTATTAATTGTTTTGAAAAAAAAAATAACATGCAGAAAATACACTGAAAAAGTTTTTGCTGATATTAAAAAGACAATGAAACTTACCTGTTGATCCAGCGACCGCTATTTGATAAGTTACGATGAACGTGTACGTTTAAATATTTTCAGGTTTTGTATTGCGACAGATAATATCAAAAGTACACCCTTGATGACTCCTCAGGCCTGACACAACCTATTTTTGCGCTCAATAGTTTAATTTAAAAAATAGTATTTACTTTGTACTTGATTATTAAAAATTTAGAAGGCACCTATTTCGTATAGGTAATACGTACGGGCTTTAATAAAAAAAAATGCCGGATAGACAAATGCAAATATGCTTTGAATTTTGGCATTTGAATTCTTATTTATAGGGATTCTTTATTCTTGTTGTTTAAAAGTATAATATTCTGTACTAAAAAATAAGCAATATTGGTAGTTACATAATTTGTATAATCATAAACTCTAAAGCAAAATCAATATAAAGAGATATAAGTCATGTAAGTAGAGACGCAAAATAAAATCAATATCTTTATATCGAGTTGTCAGAAATTAAAGACCGTTTTATTTAACAATTTATATTTGAGGAATTAAATTTAACTAAGATTACATTCTTATGAAAATTATTTTTCTCCTACGAAAAATAATTGAGATCAGTTACTAATTAAAAAAAAAATTCAAAAATGAGATAAGACTTTGCCTTCCACCAACGCTAAATTATTAAAGTGATAACAGACGCGATTATGGAAGCGTCCTAATTATAGTTGTTGATTTCTTACCCATACTCTTTGGTAGGACAGCAGGATCTCTTGGACGGACCTTTCGAAGATAAACATCCATAAAACTGGTTCCCACAAGTCGTTGCGTACACTATTAAGTACTTTTCTTTCTCATCATCATTTTAAAACGAGTATCCAGTCCCAAAGAATAGTAGGGCTTGTAAATAAATTATGAAATGAACTCTAGACAAAACTGAACAACATAAACTCCATACGACACTAACCTTCACCAGTTCACTGTCTCTCATAATTAAATCTTTAATAAACTGAAAACCTTTTATGTGACCATGTTTCAACATTTAGTTTTATTGTTATAATGTGCTCGTATGTTTCCCAATAATAATAATTAAAGATATGTCCTCTGTTAATGTCATATCATTACTAATTAGCTTTTATTCAGAAAAGTTAAATATAATCTATTGTGACTGAAATTTCAAACTTTTACAGAAAGCAAGATTTATTTATTTATCTTATTTACCTTTTTTGTTATTTAATTTTAATTTTTCGGAATTGATAAGATATAGTTGCTGCCATCAAAAATTACTTATTTTTGTATACTTTTTACATCATTTTGATAATGTTTAGTCTTTTCAACTCACTTGGGCTGAAAGAAATTTTCTGATCACCCGTTGTCCGACTTTCTGTCCATGTAAACTTTTCACATCTTCTTCTCAAGAACAACAGGACCAACTCTTACCGAAATCAGTACAAAGAATACTCGGGTAAGTATTATTTGTAAAAATCAAGGACGAAGCATCCTTACAATGGGAGATAATAAAAAAGACACAAATTCGTACAGATTCAGTGTCGGTGTCCCAGGCCTAAGTTTTAAGTGCAGTTTTTTTTAAATACATCTATTCCCTACTTGAGCTAGAAATGCATGGAAGATGCTTCTAGTGTGTTTCATTGTACATTTAGCAGTCCAATTTTCAGATCCTGCAAAACCCCGGTGTTCAGCAAAGGAATGACTAGATTTATGATTTTGGAACATGTTAAAGATTTTTGCACAGGTTCATATTCGTGATACAGGTGTTTTCCAAGTAACTCTAAGCCCTATGTTGAATAAATTTGCATGGATGAAACATCTGAGAATGCACATTACCTAGTATGCTTTGGATGCTGTATCTGACCTACATTTACCGATTGAATAAACAGGTTTATGCTTTTGACGCAAGTTGCAATATTCAAGCAATAATGATCGAGCCCTTTGTTGACCTAACTTACATGGTTGATACACCTAAAAATATATACTTGTAGGAGTGCCTCTGATGCTGAATCTTACAAAAATTTTGCGGTTGACTCAACAGGAATAAGTTTTTGGTGCAGGTACCATTTCTCTGAGTAACTATAGGCCCTAAGCCCTTTGTTGACCAAACTTACATGACTGATACTTCTAAAGATGCACACTAATGGAGTTGCTTAAAATGCTGGATTTGGCATTTTTACAACCTTTTTATGTGCAAAGTGTACGAAGACTGTTAAAAAAATAATGACACGAGCTCCATGGCATACAACATAGATATCAATACTTGACAAAAAAGTTTTTGAAAAGTTGCCTGGCCGATATATGCATTTGGAACTTACTTTGTCAATCCAGATCATCTGTACATTTTGATATGACGCAGCCTTATTGAGATGTTTTGTTTCCTCGACAAAAAGTATTGAAGCGTAAGAGCATGACAAAGTGTCAATATCTCCTTTTCATGCTTGGCATAATCCTCCAGAGAATTTTAAATATTTAAAATATTAAGCATCATTTCAAAAGTTGGGTTTCCTAAACTTTTGCCCTCTTGTAATAAAAGATTTAAGGTCCTCAACATTAACAATATTTATGACTCCATCAATGACATGTCCAACAGGACTACATGTATATCTATAGGGTGAAGAACGTGAAAACATCATAATATCATGTTTCGTTGCTCTATAGTTCGGTATTAGAGAGTTTTTTTTAAAAATAATTTAAAAGTTTGGAAGCTTTCTCAATGTACATAGAAAAGCAAAGTGACGTGTTGTTTTGTTTGCAAATAAATGTATTTGAAGATGCATTGAATGTCACTTGGATGTCTTGTTAATTTCAAGCCTGAAAGTCCAACAATACAAAATAGGAGTAAAGCAAACAGGGACCTCCAAAACATCAGGTACCACGGAGAAGTGAGCACCCCCCGACGTGTGCTCCTTGGCATGTTCATCATTTACCATGAACAACCATCAAAGATCCAAACTATTTTACCTGTAGTTATCTAGGCACCAATATTTTTATTTATCTTCTGTTAACAGTTTTTAATCTCAGTTGTAACTGCTATCAACTAATTGCAATCTACTTGACCACATTCCCGCACCTTTTCTGCAGTTCATGATCAGGGTTTCGCAGATTTCGAATCTGTTTTAATCTACCACATCTGATGTTCTCAACAAAACTTGGTTTATTTATGTAATCATATAAATTTTTGCCGTATTTAGACTTTCAACATGGATTTCGATCCATTGAATGGGTATTCCGGTAATGTAAATTCCCGGTTTGCATTTGTTTCTTACGCTTTACTGGTAAAACAATGAAATTAAATAACCTTATAGTGATTATCAATATTGTTTGAGTCATTACACTGAAAAAAATCTTCTTCTAAGAACACAATAAATAAGTACTTATTCTTTATTAATCAGAGTCTTTAACATGTTTAATGTCTAAGAAGCATTTTATTCTAGTGTTGGTATTTTTTATCCTTAAAGAGAATGTGCGTAGGGACTATCAACTATTCTGAAGTATGTCAACACGTCTGTTTTCTTGCCAGTGGACCTGTCAGAAAATAACTTAGAAGGTATAACATTTCCAGTATTTCTGTCAAATATCTTTTTTTAAAATGGCCACAACTTAATGTTAATGAAAATTGAACAAAGAAAATATATCCTGTTAATATGAACCCTACATAACACAGTTCATTTCAAATATCGAGACAGTCTACATACACTTAAGTGCAAGGCAACTCCTACTTCACTATTAGTTCAGTAAATAGAATTCATCATTAAGTCAAATACTCAAAAAAGGCAACTCCTACTTCACTATTAGTTCAAAGCAAGGAATAGGAAATATTTGGAAATAACAACCACTGTTCAAGGAAATAATCCATTAAACGATAAAAGTTTTGGAGCAGAGCAATAATGGACCCCTGTTAAATCAGATGTCGAATCAGGTGCCATGGAGGAGTGATCATCCCCTGCCGACCAATCACACTCGCCGTGTGCTCCTTGAAAATAGCAGAAAAATCCTTTGACATCTCTGTATGTAAATGATGGACTTACAATTACTAGTAGTATGAAAAGTAAGTCAGTATTTGACTTAAAGTTAATGATAAATTTTATTTATTGAAAATGTTATTGAGTTGACAATAGAATTTACGAGATGATGAATTTCAACAAGACT